CGAGGGGACACTCACCCCGAGAGGGGTCACCCAGCCCGAGGGGACACTCACCCCGAGAGGGGTCACCCAGCCCGGGGGCACCTATCCCGAGGGTCACCTAGCCTGGGGAGTCACCCAGGCCGAGGGACACCCAACCCGAGAGGGGTCACCCAGCCCAGGGGCACCTATCCCGAGGGTCACCCAGCCTGGTGGGGGGGTCACCCAGCCCGAGGGACACCCACCCCGGGAGGCACCCAGCCCAGGGGCACCTATCCCCAGGGTCACCCAGCCTGGTGGGGTCACCCAGCCCAGGGGTCACCCAGCCCAGAGGTTACCCAGCCCAGGGGCACCTATACTGAGGGTCACCCAGCCTAGGGGGGTCACCCAGCCCGAGGGACACCCAACCCAAGAGGGGGCACCCAGCCCAGGGGCACCTATCCCGAGGGTCACCCACCCCGGGGGGCACCCAGCACAGGGGGGCACCTAGCCCAGGGGCACCTATCCTAAGGATCACCCAGCCCGGGGATCACCCACCCTGAGAGTTACCCGCCCCAGGGGTCACCCAGCCCGGGGGGGTCACACACCCTGAGAGTCACCTGCCCCGAGGGTCATTCACCCCTGGGGGGGTCACCCACTCTGAGGGGCATCCACCCTGGGGGTCACTGGCCAGGGCGACGAGTGCCACTGTTGTCGTGCCTACCCAAGGGGTCCCTGTGCCGGGACAGTGGACGCGTATCAGCGCCCCGAGCTCCCGCCTTCAAGGTGGGCCAGCCCCTGAGTGCGAGGACAGACCCTTGGCCTGCGGCGTGGGCCTCGCTGGGTCAGCGGGGAGCTGGTGTGGCCGCGAGGACGGGCCTGTCTGGAGCTGGCTGCTTTAGGGGCTTCACGACCTTTCAGGGTCGGATGTTTGTCTCATGTGTAGTGTCCGGTTTCCCTCGAGGCCACTACACCTGAGTGTGCAGAGAACGGGGGAAGGAGCTCAGGTAGATAGTGGGAGGAACTGCTGGAGGTCAGCCCAGCTTCGCAGCTCACCTGCCCGCTCACACCGTCCACACCGCCCTCCCAGCTCACTCTGTCCCCACCGTCACCGCCTCACACCGTCCCCCAGCTCCCACTGTCTACACCGTCCACACCGTCCCCCAGCGCACACTGTCCCCACCGTCCCCGACTCACACCGTCCCCCAGCTCACTCTGTCCCCACCGTCACCAGCTCACACGGTCCCCCAGCTCACTCTGTCCCCACCGTCCACACCGTCCTCCCAGCGCACACTGTCCCCACCGTTCACACCGTCCCCCAGCTCACACTGTCCCCACCATCCACATTGTCCCGCCAGCTCACACTGTCCCCACCGTCCCCCAGCTCCCACTGTTTACACCGTCCACACCGTCCTCCCAGCGCACACTGTCCCCACCGTCCCCGACTCACACCGTCCCCCAGCTCACTCTGTCCCCACTGTCACTGGCTCACACCGTCTCCCAACTCACACTGTCCCCACCGTCCACACTGTCCCGCCAGCTCACACTGTCCCCACCGTCACCGCCTCACACCGTCCCCCAGCTCACACTGTCCCCTGGCTCACCGTCCCTACCATCCCCGGCTCACACCATCCCCACCGTCCCCCGTGGGACCTGCACCCATCTGTCCATCCTGCTCCACGAGGGGCTGACCCTTCCTTCCCTGGCGGCTTCTCAGTGATGTCCTTCCCCTCTGGCCGCTCCTGATAATGCTTCCAAAGCGCGGGAGGCCAAGTGTCACCTCCATCCTCTAAGGAACATTAGGATTATATTTCTTCCAGGACAGATTTCTCTGCTCCTTGGCCAGTCTGGTATCTTCAGTATTGATCACAGCAGTTCTTGAATGTAATTCAAAGGCTTGTCCAGCTTTCACATGCTATAAAGCAGTTGCTTGAGTCAGTTGTGCCTCAAAATGACATATTTTCCACACTTTACAGAGGGCTTTTGCAGCAGATTTCCCCCATGCAGCTTGAAGCAAACTCACTGCTCTACAGGCGGTTCCTCCGGGTGCTGGCCTGCACCAAGTTTCCAAGGCTGGAACTACCCCCCCACCACCCCAGTATTCATAAGCACCCTGTTACAGATCTCAGGGCTGTCCATCTTAACGGGAATGATCGCCTGTCTGTCTCCCGAGGACTGGCTGAAGGGCCTGAATTCCCTGTCTTTCTCTTCGTGGCTGCTTTTGTCAAGTCGGAACTGACCCATAGCTGGCCCTCCAGCAGGTTTTCTGAGTGAATCTCACAGGAGGAGACTGCCCATCCTTCCTTGACAGCAACTGGTGGGCACGCCTTTGGGATTGCAGTTCACGTTCTTAGCACTGGGCCACCAGAGCTCCCTAAGCCCATTGCTGGGCTAGAAAACAGTGACACCTGCGTGGGAGCTGGGAGGACTTTGTTTTTCCTGGTGCTCTAACTCTGGGGGCCTTGTAAGAAGAAACTGTGCTATAATTCCAAAGCCCCGCAGTTCGAACCCACCAGCTGCTCTGAGGGAGAAAGACAGGCGGTCTCCTCCCCTGTGAAAACCTAACCGCGTGTCAGCAGTGGGTCAGCTCTGACCCAACAGTGTCCAGCAGCCTAAGCTTTACCCCTGAGAGGGCAACGATAACACTCATTTTAGTGGGAAATAGTTCTGCTTTCCTTCTTTAACAGATTGTCGCCTCACATGGGCGCCACCCACCAGTCCTGCTGTATATGTTTCTTTCCTCACAGTGTTGGGTGGTTGGCAAATCCAGAAAGACCTGGTCAGTCTTTGGACTCTGATCGAGATGTCACACTAGGAGTGCCATCCCCGGAGGCCTGGTTGGCGTCCATCTCAGGATGGATGGCAGGAAACCTCTATTCCTCCCCCTGTGACCACTGAAGGAACAGTTTAGAGGAGCAGTATCCTCACAGCATGGCAGCTGGCCTCCCCTCGAGTGAACCAAGATAGAGAGCCTTCCATGGCCTGGTCTCCAGGGTCACACTGTGTCATTCCCAGAATGTCCCTTTGGTTACATGTGTCAGCCCCCCAGGCCGTGAAACCAGGAGAAGGGGATCACTGGGAGCCCTCTGGAGGCCACTCCAAGAGATAGAAGCTCAAAGTGGGGGGATATGAATGTCTAGCTGAGGGGTACTGATTCTGTAGCCCTTGAAGTGCTTGAAGCAGGAGTGCAGTAAGCTTGGGCATGGACAGCAGGAGAGAGGAGAGGAGGAGGTGGGCCAGTGCCTGACGTGAGCTGGTCAGCAGTGGATGAACGTGTGGAGAGAAGAGGTCTGGGCACAGCCTCTCCTGACCAAGCCCAGCAGTGCTAGGAAAGGTGACGGTCATTCACAGCTGCAGAAAGTCTAAGGAGGGTTTCCTGGGAGTTGGTTCTGATCCCATGGCAATGGGTTCATTGTTGTGTTTTTAACGTTTGTAAACTTACTAACATTTTTCCTCCTTAAGAAGTTTGGGGAATTGGAATACAGTGTACAGCACAGGGCAGAAATCCTAAGTGTACAGTTTGGTCAGGCACCACCAAACGCACACGCCGTACAATCTGCTGACGGTCCACCCAGAGAAGATGCGTGGCTCCCCAGGTCCATGACCCGTCCCTCCGGGGCACCCACTTCCTCCTCTTCCTCCTCCGCAGAGCAGATGGCATTCAGAGTGCACACACCTGCGTTGTGAGCTTCCAGGGCTGTGGTGTCTGGTTTCTGTCATCTCACAGTGGTGAGGTTCCTCCAAGGCTGTTAGAGCAAACTATTGTCATCTTCCTCACTGAATCTGCCACACTGCATGCCCCTCCTCTGTGCTAGAATTTCATTTGGACTCTTTCCAGTTGGTTGGGATTTTTTTGTTTTGGTTGTTATTTTTTTAAATTGTATTATTTTTACATGTACCGTCAAATCAGATCTGAGATTGCCCCCTCCTTCTCCAGCAGAGCATCTGGTGTATTTGAACCTTGTATCTCTTGGATTGCAGTGCAGCATCTTGCCACTAGGCCACCAGAGCTCCCTTCAGTTGGTGGTTTTTATACTCTGAATATGCTCACTTCCTAGTGACGTGGTTAGGTTCTAAAGACAAGTTGTTATGTGAAAATAGTTTTTATGCAAAACAGAGGGTGACCACATCAGATGACAAGGCAGAGCGTGACTGCATCATTGGGGAACTGCCCACACCAGCACCTCTGCCCCGTTACCATAGACACCGTTTGGTGCACACTTTATGCGTATAGTAGATTTTTTATTACAGGTGCGTGTCACTGCCACCCATGGTGTGTTCTGTGAGACGGGACACCGCGCATGTGCAGGCAGTCCCCACGCAGTCCATCATGAAGTCCACAGGAAGCCCAGTGAAACATTTGTATCCAGGTCTGCAGGGTATAGACTCTGCACTCGGGGCTTTGCTCTCCACGACCTTCTGCATTAAAGTCTCGGGAGCCTGACAAACCCCCTGCTGCAGATCTGCATGGGATGCTTAGGACCGGCTCTGTCGAGCACCGGCCGGGCGGGCTGGGGCGAGCCCACAGCTGCACTGCCACTTAGAGCGCCCAGGCGCAGGGTGGCGTGTCTGTGGGTGTGTGTGCCTGGAGCAGGCTGGCGGCGGTGGCCCTGACGCTGCTACTTCCTCGTCACGTGCCTCTGTCACCACCTGGAGCCAGGAGTCTCTGAGCTCCAGTACTGCCATTGTCTGAGACTCGGAGAGTCTTCCCTGCCTAGAACCACACTCCTCTTCTCCTGCTTCCCCCGTCTCCTGAGGGCCATTCCTGTGAAATGCTGTCCTTTGTTTGCATCCCTCCCTCGTATGGTAATTCACCTTGTCCATCTGTCCTGTGGCTGACGGCTGACCCATGGGTGAGTTCAGTCTGAGCGATCCCCAGCCTCTGTTGGACCAGTAAGGCTTGTCTTTTTTAAACACAGATTCTGAGTTTTGCGTTACTTCTCCCCTTCTCTCCAGGACCTCTCCTCATGTTTTCTTCTAGAGGGGTCACTCTTGGTAGGCAGGCCCATCAGCTTCTGGTCTCAGGTCTCAGAGGTCGAGTTTAGTGGGCTCTATTAGATAATTGTCTCTCTGTGTCTTTGATTTTCCTCGCTCTTTCCTGCAGGTGTGGAGAGGCCAGGAGATACACTTTACAGGACATGTTTTAGATGTATTATAACAGCTTATACGAATGGCACATTTTCACAGAAAAACTTGACCTGTGTTCCAGATTCTCTCCTTAGACTGGCAGAGTCAACCAAAAGGACACAGCTGTGTCCCCTTGTCCTCAACTATCCTTTACACACATGCTCCTGTCCCCTCCGGTGCACAGAGACCCTGCCACATGACAGACATGAGTGAGCCTGGCCAGCCCAAGTCTGCACTCTTTTCTAGGAGGAGACAAGCCTTGGCTTATATCTGAGGGTTATTGGCGTTTCTGCTTAAGCTGCCCCCAAACCTTACTGCCGTATTGGACAGGACAAGTTTCAATCCCAGGAAGATTGGTGGAACCCCAAGACCGGACTCCTTAGTTACCCTTTGAACTTGAAGCAAAACTCACTCCCAAGGCTGAGCTGATTTTAGCCAAATAATAGACAGATTTTTAAAGTGACCAGTAACACCAGGGAGGTTCTCATCCCCCAGAGGAACCAGCCATATGCGATGAAAAGAGCAGCGTGTGTCCAAGGACAAGGCCCAGAAGACAGGAAGGGGCAGGACCCGAGGGCCAGTGAGATGAGAATTACAGAGAGGAAGTCGGAAAAGTGCAGTCTACCTTGTGGTAATTTTAATAAGTCATCAGACAAAATCCACAGGAATGGTCCAATAGAAAACCAGTTTGCTTTATAAATGTTCACCCAAATTACAATTAAAACAAGTACGAATTATTATTGTTTGTTTTTTAAAAAAAAATCGAACCATTCTTTAGCTTACAAATGCACGGGCCAGCATCCTCGGCTGGCCTTGCTGAGTGCCCTGTCCATCTGTCGTGACCAGGGCGTCAGCTGTGGCCTTGCCTGAATTGTCTGGTGTTCCTGTCAGGTCTGGGCCTGTGTGCAGAGGTTGAGTTGGGCCTGACTCCTGACCCCTTCCTTCCCTCAGGACACTGTCTCAGCCTTCCCCATCCTCCTGAGACCACTAATGGACACAGTCCAGCTGACGAGACCTTGTGTGGCATTTCAGGAGCCAGTGACCTTTCGGGATGTGGCCGTGAACTTCACGCCAGAGGAATGGGGGCAGCTGGACCCTGCCCAGAGGACCCTTTACCGCGATGTGATGCTGGAGACCTTTGGGCATCTCGTCGATGTGGGTAAGGCCTGCTTAGCCACAAGCTGAATGTCTCTGCACACTCCACAAAGTCACGATGGCTGTGAGACAGAGAGGAACTCCCCAGTCATCACACACCACAGAGTCACCACAACTCTGGGACAGACAGGAACTCCACAGACACAACGACTGTGAGACACAGAGGAACTCCCCAGTCATCCCCACACCCCACAAAGTCACGACAGCTGTAGGACAGAGAACAACTCCCCTCGGGGTTCCACAGCTTCATCCTCCTGAAGGGTGAATGGTGGATTTGAACCAGTGAGCCTTTGGTCGGTAGCCAAGTGCCTAACTTACTGTTTGACCAGAGCGTCAGCACCCGTTGGTGACCGGTTCCCTGTGGCGATAGGTAGTGTGGACCGGGCTCCAGCAGCGGCCTTCTCTGCTCTTCCACGTGGGCTCTGTGTATACAGGACGGCCTGCCCTGCTCTGTCTCCACGTCACCAACTGTGGCCCCTTGTCTTGGGAAGGAGTCTTGGGAAGACCCCTGTGTACGCTTTCTCTTTTCAGGGCCTGAGCTCCCCAAACCCGATGTCATCTCCCAACTGGAACAAGGCGCTGAGCTGTGGACAGCAGAGCAGGGACGTGACCAGGGATGCTGTCCAGGTGAGACTCCATCAGGCTGGAGCCCCTGCAGGGAGGGTGGTCAGCCCAGGCCTAAAGATTGAGCCCAGCTCCCAGGAAACATGAACATGTAGTTGTGATCACAGCTAAGATGTGTTTTAGCAAAGGCCATGAAGCAGAGTCCACAGGGGACCTGTGAGGTGACATGCAGGTACCCTGTGCAGGCTCAGTGCCCAGAGGAGGGGGACAGCACACTGGTCACTAGGCGTGTCCCATGTCCCCAGGCTCCTGAGCAGAAGCAGATGCTCGCGGCTACCACATTCTTTGCATAGAGAGCTACTCTCTTCAGTCCCAGGAAAGATGGGGTCTCTTGAAACCCAAGCATCAGGTCCCAGCCGAGGTCCAGCCTTACAGGTGGTCTTTTTCAGGATGGCAGTGTCCGGCCATCATGTGGCCTCAAAGACCCTGTCCTCCTCCTCTACCTGGAGTGTCCCCTACGTGTCATGGCCTCTCTCCTGTCCCTTCTCCCTCTGAGCTTACCCAGTGGTCAGATTCCCTCCTCCCACTCCCCCCATCCCATCTTTCTTTCTAGATGGTACCTTGGCTCCCAGCCATCTAGCGTGCCCTTCTCACAAGTCATCTTTAAGCATGAACTTGTCCCCGGGTTTTTTGTATACCCACTCGCTGTACTGTGTTCCCCACCTTTATTCTACTCTTATCACCAGGGATTATGGATTCAGCTACAAATAACAGAACAGGGAATTAGAACAACCCAGAAGAGAGGGAGGTCTTTTTCACAAAGCAAGAAATTCTGACACTGGCTCTGCATTTCAGTGATGCCAGCATTGACTGGCCTGTGACTATGTTGTATTTCCTCAGAACCACATGACGGCTGCAGCAGCTCCAGCCATCACACTGGACTCTAGGCAGGAGAGGGAGAAGTCGGGAGAAAGGCACCAGCCACATTCGTCTCATTTTATTAAAACTCCAGATGTTATCACCTACATCCCAACCTGACACAGCTGCTAGAGAGGCTGGAAGAGGGAGTGGGTGGACGTTACTGGCTTGGTCCACATTCTAGAAGGGGAACGTGGAGACTAATGTCAACCCGGTGCCTCCGACACCACCACTCGGGGCCTTTCCAAGCACTTTACAAAGTCCTTCAGCTGTAAGAACTGAGGGTCACACGGGACTGACCACCCCCTGACCTAGATTAGTGCTGCCTTAGAAAGGGGCCCCTGCTGTCACCTACCAACAGGTCCAAAGTCTCCCCTGGACAGGACAGGCATCTAGGCCTAGGTCAGTGCGCCGGTCACGCATGTCGAACACCTAGGTCGGCGCTGGGGGCGGGATGTCCGGCTGCGGCCCCAACCACGCACTGTTCTCTGCCTTTTTCAGGCTGGGAGGACCGAGCTGGAGACCAGGTGCCAAGGAAGGGTCTCTGTGACCCCCAGTCGCCCAGCGTCACGGAGAGGACAGGATTCCCGAAGGGTCCCCTGCAGCCTGCCGCGATGGGAGAGCAGCCCAGCGAGGACCAGGGCGCATCCGACGGGAGCCCGGGACGAGGGGGTGAAGGCATCCCCAGCTCAGCCCCGAGTCCATCGGAGGAGATGCCGGCAGAAAGCCGCCCGTGCGCTCCCGACGGCAGCTCCTCGGGGAACGCAGCCCCCGATCCCGACTGTGACTTGGCCCTCGACCCCGGCGTGGACATCTTGCAGCTGGCCAAGATGCAGCTGCAGCTGCAGCGCAAGCCCTTCTACTGCCCCGACTGCGGCAAGGCCTTCAACCACAACGCGCACCTGACGGTGCACCGGCGTATCCACACCGGCGAGCGGCCCTACGCCTGCAAGGAGTGCGGCAAGGCCTTCAGCCAGAACTCGTCGCTGGTGCAGCACGCGCGCATCCACACCGGCGACAAGCCCTACAAGTGCGCCGACTGCGGCAAGGCCTTCTGCCACAGCACGCACCTGACGGTGCACCGGCGCATCCATACGGGCGAGCGGCCCTACACCTGCCAGCACTGCGGCCGCACCTTCAACCAGAACTCGTCGCTGGGCCGCCACCGGCGCACGCACACGGGCGAGCGGCCCTACGCCTGCAGCGTGTGCGGCAAGGCCTTCTCGCGCACCACCTGCCTCTTCCTGCACCTGCGGACGCACACCGAGGAGCGGCCCTACGAGTGCAACCACTGCGGCAAGGGCTTCCGCCACAGCTCGTCGCTGGCCCAGCACCAGCGCAAGCACGAGGGCGAGAAGGCCTACGAGTGCCGCCAGCGGCTGCTGCTCCAGCACGCGGCCGCGCTGGCCCGGCGCGAGTGGACGCAGAGCCTGGGCGTGCAGGACGACAAGCCCTTCCGCTGCGGCCAGTGCGGCAAGGGCTTCGTCCAGAGCTCACACCTCATCCGCCACCAGGTCGTCCACACCCGCGAGGGGCCGCGTGGGCGGGGGCGCGGGCGAGGGCGAGGGCGCAGCCGGGGTGCACAGCCCCTCGGGGGCCCGTGCTCCACGGACAGCCCTGTGGACAATCAGTACCCCGGGGGCAGTGCTGTGAGTGGTGGGGGCACACACCCCCTCCAGAGCCCAATCCCCAGGGACAGTCCGTCAGACTGTGGTGGTGCACCCCCCATCCCGTTCACCCATCCCCGGGACAGCCCCGCAGACGGTGGGGGGGCGCACCCCATCCCGTTCACCCATCCCCGGGACAGCCCCGCAGACAGTGGGGGGGCGCACCCCATCCCGTTCACCCATCCCCGGGACAGCCCCACAGACAGTGGGGGGGCGCACCCCATCCCGTTCACCCATCACCAGGACCCCGCAGACAGTGAGGGGGCGCACCCCATCCCGTTCACCCATCCCCGGGACAGCCCCGCAGACAGTGGGGCGCCACACACTCTTCAGTTCCCTCATCCCATGGACAGACCGGTGGATAGTGGGGGCTCACCCCCCCTCCCGTTCCCGCACCCCGGGAACAGCCCCGCAGCAGGAAGGGGTGCACCCTCTCTCCAGAACCCACTCCCTCATCCTGGGTACAGCCCTGCAGGTGGTGAGGGTCCACACCCTTTGTCATTCCCGTACCCCGGAGAGAGCCCCATGGATGGTGGGGGGGCACCTCCCCTCCATTTCCCCTACCCCGGGGATGGTTCTGTACCTCCGGCCAGCAGGCCCCTGGCGGTGCTGGAGGTCCACAAGGTGATGCAGGAGAAGCTCCTGCCTGACACGGAAGAGCTGCCTGCAGACAGAGCCCTGCTGCTGGACATCAGGGAGTCCACATCGTAGGGACAGGCCGCCGTGTAGAGACGGGAGGCCCAGCAGTTTCTGAGGAGGCCTTGTTTGAGAAACACAGAACTTCCCCTCCCCAGACCAATAGCCAGAGTCATGAATTGCAAGTTCCGGGGACTGACACGGTACAGGACAGTGACGTGTTACAGGAGGAAGACCCCTGTGTTACAAGAAGGTGACCCATGCCTTACTGGACAGTGACCTGTGTCGTATAGGACAGTGATCCAGGTCATACAGGATGGGACCAAGAGCCACGGGATGACCAGTGTCTTAAAGGGTAGGACCCAGCTCCCAGGGTGCTGGAGGCCAGGAGCTCCCGAATGCAGGTGGCCAGGCCTTTCCCAGGATGTCTCTAGGCAGGCTGGGACTCAGTACCCCTCTCAGAACGGATATTTTGTAGTATTCTTTGTTATGCTACCATGAGTGCACAGGCCCTGTGACCTGCCTAATGTAAATATCAGCTTATGGCCCTATTTTCTAAAGCAGAATAAATAATTTATAGCAGAGGTGTGTGATGCATCGATGCTGTCAACGTGCACCCGGAAACCCAGTTTCACCGGAGGCTCAGCCTTCAACAGAAATACTAGGAAGGGCCTTCACAGGACAAACCCTTGGAAACTCAACAGACGCTATTGCATTTCTGGAAAATACCATGATTGTGGCAAAAGTTGTGTCAGTCTAAGCATGCAGAACTTGTTTTCAGTATCTGAGCCATTGTGTTGAGTCTTGGCTCACAGGTCACAGACAGGTGTTCAACCTCCCTCTCCACCAGCATCATCCCCACCCCAGGCCTGGGACGAAGACCTGCAGAATCCAGCCTCCTGTGCTGGGGTTGATTCTGACTCCTGCGGTAACGGGACAGAGCAGAGCTGCTCCAGTGTCCAAGGCTGTCCACCGTACAGGTGCAAACACCAGCCCTTTCTGCCCTGGGCAGCTCTTGGGTTCCGACTGGCCTTCTCAAAACACCCCAGTGCCTTTAACCTGTACCACCAGCTATCATTCGTGGAGGTCCACGGCATTCCATAGCAAGTGGCTGTGCCGCCCCACGTGGCTGTGTCTAGACACTGGTTTGGGCATCACCATGGGAGGAGGAAGGGGTGTTACTGGCACTCAGTGGATACACGCCTGGGATGCTGCTCAGACCTGGTCCCTCTGTCATTTAGGAGAGCCTGTCTGGAAGCTCATGTCCACACGATCCTGGCAGGCCTCTCCTGATCCTCCTCCGGGTCCCTGCACAGCAAACCAGGCACGTTGAGCGGCCCAAGCGCCGAGGCTTGTTTCTCAGATTCTTAGCGGGGACCAGGCTGCCCTTGCCTCTCCAGATGTTACTTCACCTCATGGACAGGTGGTGAGGGGCCTCAGGAGCAGGACTGGTGCACTCTGCTGAGGAAGACCCTTCACCTCGTGGACAGAGGCCATGGGGGCTCAGGGACCAGACTCCCGGGCTGCAGCCAGAGTGGGAAGAGCCTGCAGGATGTCCTGGACGTTTCTCTGGAGCCCCTCTGCATGGTCCATTGTCACGTCCCATGGCCGCAGGCGCCAGAGAGCATGACCACCAAGAGGGATTACAGTGTGGCCAGTGCCAGGTGCCCTCCCACCCCCCGGAAAACAGGGAGAGTGGAGAGGCTTCCTCTGGGGCTAGGTCCAGCAGTGCACACAGGAGAGGACCCCCACGCGATCGCCAAACCCGCCCAGTGCCTGAGGGCGCGGGACCCTGGCCTTCGGTGGCCCCTCTGCTCATCCCGCACCAGCAGAGCCACACGGAGCCACATGGGCGGGTGGCCCTAAGCCCAGTCCTCTGCTCCCAATTGGACCCTTATGTTCCACCAATGGGTGCACTGTGGAAAGAAGTCTTACACGGGAACAAATGCAGCGAGGTCGACGTCCAGCGTCCACCTGACCGAGCGCTGTGGGCTCACACCAGTGAGTGGACAGCACGTCCAGTCCACACACACCAGTCAGTCTGCAGCTGCTGCCCACAGATCGTCCGCTTCCACTGGTCAGTCTGCAGCCCGTGTCCACAGAGCATCCATCCCTACTGATCAGTCTGCAGCCTGTGTCCACAGAGCGTCCATCCCTACTGGTCAATCTGCAGCTGCTGCCCACAGATTGTCCACTTCCACTGGTCAGTCTGCAGCCCGTGTCCATAGATCATTCATCCCTATTAGTCAGTCTGCAGCCACTGCCCACAGATAGTCCACTTCCACTGGTCAGTCTGCAGGCTATGCTCATAGAGCATCCTTCCCCATCAGTCATTCTGCGGCTGCTGCCCACAGATTGTCCACCTCCACCGGTCATTCTGCAGTCCGTGCTCACAGAGCGTCCTCCCCTCCCTGTCAGTCTGTGGTCAGTGTGTAGCTGCTGTCCACAGCATCCATGAAGCCAGCCCTCTACCACCCACCGGCTTATGGGTGGAAGCAGCCCGCCCAGTGTTGAGCCCATCACCAAGTGGTCAGTCGAACCAGCCCTGACCCAGCACAGAGGGCCCACGCCTGGGGAGACGTGAGTGCAGCAGACCCTGCACAACTGCTTGGTTCTCATGGGGTAGTAAGCAGGAATCCATGGAATGGGGAGAGGGGCTGTGGAACCAGATCCTTGGGAAGGGGGCTCCCTTCTGCCCAGTGGGGACACCAGCCCCTGCTGCCTTCAGGTCAGGTGTGAAGAGCTTTGGTTCCACCCTCCTTGTTACACAGCGTCACAGACAGCGGCACTTGGCGCCCCCCATCCTTCCAGAAAGGTGTGCTGGTGGTACAGCGCCTAGTAACTCCCATAAGACCACAGCCTAGAAAACCCCATGGGGCAGTCGTCCCTGTCACAGGAGCCCCTCAGTCCGAAATGGCTGTGCCCCACACCACCTTCCCGTGGGAACAGCCGCTACTTATTCTCCCTCATGCAGGGTGAGCTGGTGTCCACCGGGAGGCAGGAGAGGCCCACAGCAGGAGTCAGTCCCGCTGGCACAACTCAGTTTCGCTTTTGCCAAGGCAGGAGTTAAGTTTTAAAACAAGTGATTTTTTTCAAAGACACTCTGTTGTCTCTGTCTTGTAATCAACCACAGGTTTGGGGTTTTTATTTCTTTTTTCCTCTTCTCCTCCCAAAATGTACTTAGAATGTAATGAATGAGTATCCAGAAATCCAGCTCTAATTCAAAGATGAAACACACGGTGCATATTTTTCCTTAGCTCCAGTGTGAAGACTTCCTTCCTTTAAGTTCTGGGAGTCAACAACGTTAACACATAACGGTTTTACTTTATAAACACTTCACAGGAGTTCCTGGATGGTGCCAGTGACTGAGCATTTCACTACCAAGCAAAAAGTTGGGGGTTTGAACCCATCCGGAAGGCACGTGGAAAGAGAGGCCACAGAACTCACTACCGTGCCCAGCAGCTATGCTTTATACACAGGGTGTGCGGTGATGTCAACAGCCTTCCTGTATTTGTCTTTTTCAGGTAGAGGGTTACTGTAACATTGCCAAAAGTCAGATGGCTTAATATAGTAAATATGTATCTGCTTATCCATTTAAATAGGAAAAGAGCTAGTTACTGTACTAAGTTGTGCTGGTACAATTGGAGAAAAACTAAAATAGGGGCCATGCCTCCCATCATATACAAAAAAGTCACTTAAAGTTGGTGCTGGAGAAGAGTATTGAACATACCACAGACTGCTAGGAGAACAAACAGGTTCATCCTGGAGAGGGTGAAGCTAGGCTGCTCCGTGGAGGCAAGGATTCTGAGGCTCCGTCTAACATACTTTGGACATGTTGCAAGGAGGGACTGGTCCTTGGAGAGGGACATTATGCTTGGTAGGGTGGAGGGACAGCGCAGGAGGGGAAGACCCTCTATGAGGTGGATTGATTCAATGACTGGGGTAATGGGGGTAGGTGTGTCAGAGACAGTAAGGTTGGCACAGGAGCGAGCAGGGTTTAGGTCTCTTGTATATAGGGTTGTTATGAGTCGCAAGTGACTTGACAGCATAAAACAACACTCATGGAAGGAACATTAAGGGAACATGTAGAGAACCTCATCCATGGCATAAATATGCCCTTGCAAACAGTGGAGGAAGACAAACTAGAGTGCTGGGACCTCCCAAGAGTTGTCTCTCACTGTTCTGGAGGCTGGCAGCGGGGGTTGTTTCCTACCTTCCTGGCATCACAGTTTCAGATGCTCCTCTCTGCCTCCGTCGTCTCAGGCTGCCTTCCTCTGTGTGCCCAAACCTCCTTTAATAATAGCCTAAGTGCAAGTTTACAAAGCAGGAGGCTTTCCCATCCAATCGTTCATACAGATGTTGTTCCAAGGCCTAATTACGGTCCCTGCGTTATAACCACACTTTCCCCACTCCCTTCCTGTGACTCTCATTGCCCTTCATCCTTCCATCTCATCCCTTCCTGCCTTCTCCTTTCTCCCTGGGAAACTTGACCTTTTGCCAGTGGTGGTTCTGAGCAGTCTGTGCCGTGAGTGACTGGCCACTTTATAAGCTTGTCTGTTGCTTGAAAGCTGAGTCATAGAGGTAAGTTTAGCTTCAGGCTCAGAGGGTTACTGAGGGCCATGGTCTCACGAATCCTTGTGGTCCCTCACGGCCAGCATGCTGGTCATTTCTCTCCAGCTCTGTCCAGAAGCCTCTGCTCTGAGCCCCTTCAGGGGTCAGCAGTGGTTACTGGATCCATCTGTATCTTCTAACCTTAGGGTAATCCTTTCCCTCTCTCTTCGAACAACATCAAAAGCCAAAGCCGCCTGGTCTTAGGGCCCCCACTCCCTGTGTCGTCTCTCCTGACACCACTCACAAGACCACATGGTATAAAACCTCATCCGTAAGAAATCGAGACACACCTCGTTTTACTGTTTAGCAGCTAATGCTTTTACTAACTGAAGGTTGTGGGAACCTCGTGTCAAACAAACCGTCAACCTAATTTTCCCAACAGCCCATGCATACTTCATGTCAGTGGTGTAATTTTGACAATTCACACAATCTTTCAAAGTTTGTCACAATGCTACTGCACACTCCAGGTGGCGGGGAGTGGGAGGGAACTGTGCATTATGTAATTGCACTGCTAACTGAAAGGTTGGTGGTTCGAATCTACCAGCGTCTCTGCAGAAGCAAGACTGGCCATCTCATCCTGTAAGATTCACAACCTTGGAAATGTGGAGGCTTCTTAGCACTGAGTCAACTCCACAGCCACAGGCTGAGGTGTTACACACTTTCCAGACCACAGAAAACAAGCCCGCTGCCATCAAGGAAATCTGTAGGACGGAGCAGAAACTGTCCCCTGAGGTTTCTAAGGCTGTGTATCTTCCCTTTAAGGTTTTCTTTTTAACTTTTTATTGTGTATGTGTTTGGAGGAGATTGCCTCTCCTTCTCCAGCAAAGCATCTGGTGGATTCGAACCATGTACCTCTGGGATTACAGTGCTGCCCCTAGGCCACAAGAGCTCCCTTCCCTTTAAGGTTTTAACAAGTAGAAATTAATCCTCTCGTAGTTGAGGAGGCTATTTCTAACTGTTGGCTCTGGAGGAAAGTCTCTGCAGCTTCTGCTTTCCTGGTTCCTTGGACATGTCTCGGCATCAGTCTTTTTCTAGACCTGGGAGGTTCTAAGAGTGAGACACACTCTCTTTTCTTGGTAGTGGTGAGGTCCTTCTCACCGTTCTTCTCTCTTTCCTGTGACCCAGCACAGAACACATCTTTGGCTGTGAATCTTTATGAAAACAAACTGTCTCGCTTTGTTCTCTCGTGGAACAGCAGCGAAGCGTGAACTGCCAGCCTCTGGGTTGGTATCCAGTGCTTAACCCAGTTACCAGAGCCCCTTAAACAGATAACAGTATCTTGTCCACCTAACTTCTACATGCACTGGGAAAGGAAAAAAAAAACAACCCCCACACCAAAAACCCCTCTAGGACTCACTTTATTGCAATATTCACTGTACTGTGCGAACTGCCAAATCTCTGAAGCATGCCCATAATCTCGCCATGGGGAGATTAACTCAGATTACTCAGTGTAATCACACGTTCTCAGAAATAATGGGGCGAAAGAGAGAAAAGAGATGTGATGAGGGAAGCAGAGACTGAAGCAACATGGGATCTCGAACCCACAAATGCCATCAGCTTCTACGAGCTGGAAAGGGCAAGGGAACGGATTCTCCCCAGGAACTTCCAGAGCGGCAGCTGTGCTGGCACCCAAGAGATCCATTATGGAATTCTGATCTCCACAAATGCAAGCTAATAGGGTTTTACTTGGTTGAAGTCATGACATTTGTGGAAACGGAGACAATTAGACTCTCTAGACCCAAATGGGACATTTGAACAGGGCCCAGCTTCACCAGGTAGCAAAAATAAGAAAGATAGCTCACACAAGTGATATTCTAGACACACAAGTCTGGGTCTCTCCCTTTACTGGTGGGTGGAAGGGGGTGTCAGAAGAAATATGGGAGGTGTTGGTGGCATGGAGTTGGACTTGGCAGAAGGCTCAGGACTGGAGAATCAGGAATCCCTGGACAAAAACCTCACAGTGGCACAGAAAAGGGTAGAGCTGGTAATTTGGATTAACTGATCCCCGTCAGAGATTGCCTTGGGCACAAAAGTGACGCCACGAAGCCTGGCTTATTGTGACAGATATTAGAGGTGAACCTTCTGGGGTTTGTGCCTTCCGCAGGATGAGGTGGGGCTACATGCAGAATCAAAGACAGGACAGCAACCAGAGCTGCCCGCAGATCACAGCCCCGGCCAGAGCGAGACAGAGTGGTGAGACAGGTCTCCACAAGGAAAGAGCTCCTGAAAGAGAAAACCGGGGGTGGGGCCGTGTACATGAAATCTCCAGAGCAGGGAAATTCATAGTGCCAGGAAATAGATGAGCAGGGAGTGACTGCCAGTGAATGTGACATTCCTTATCAACAGAAATATTCAGGAACGAGATGATATTAACTGACAATTCTGTGACTCTACTATAAACCCCTTATGTGCACCGTAAGAGAGTGAACTTCATGGTGTGTCAGTAATATAGCAATGAGCTGTAAGCAATGCTCTGTAATACGGAAAATGAGTTTGTTTTTTAAGTTTTTACCTAAGCCACAGTATGTTCAAAATAGAGCGTATCGATAGGAGTATTAAACATAAAAATGAAGAGTGGAAAGGGGCCAGGGAGGCGCGTGAGGCCTGGTAAAGAGGGAAACGGGGAGAACCAGGGAGCTGGCATCAGGGAGGAGGGAGAGGCAGCTCTCCCACGGGCTAGGTCCTGGTGTGCAGCTTCTGGTGCTGGAGGAGGTAGGAGCTGTAGCGGAAGGCCTTGCCGCACACGCCACACGAGTAGGGCTTCTCGCCCGTGTGGATGCGCTGGTGCTGGGAGAGGTGTGAGCGCTGGACGAAGCCCTTGCCGCACTCCAGGCAGATGTAGGGCTTCTCGCCCGTGTGGATGCGCTGGTGCTCCACCAGGTAGGCACTCACGCTGAAGGCCTTGCCGCACGCGGCGCACTCGTAGGGCTTCTCGCCCGTGTGGCTGCGCTGGTGCTGGCTGAGCTGCGAGCTCTGCACGAAGGCCTTCCCGCACCGGCCGCACGCGTACGGCCTCTCCCCGCTGTGCGTCCGCTGGTGGGTGACCAGGGCCGTCTTCCACATGAAGGTGCGGCCACACTCGGCGCACGCGTAGGGCCGCTCGCCCGTGTGGACGCGCTGGTGCTGGCTGAGGTCCGAGCTGCCCTTGAAGGCCTTGCCGCAGGACAGGCACTCGTAGGGCTTCTCGCCCGTGTGGATCTTGTGGTGCTCGATGAGGGTGGAGCTCTGGCCGAAGGCCTTGCCGCACTCCACGCAGCGGTACGGCCTCTCCCCGCTGTGCGTCCGCTGGTGGCGGATGAGCGGCGAGCTCCAGCGGAAGGCCTTGCCGCACTGCGGGCACTGGTAGGGCTTCTCGCCCGTGTGGATGCGCTGGTGCTTGCGCAGGTCCGAGCTGCCGCGGAAGGCCTTGCCGCACTCCCGGCACGCGTACGGCTTCTCCCCGCTGTGTGTCCGCTGGTGGAGCGTGAGCGTGGAGTTCTGGATGAAGAGCTTACCGCACTCTGCGCACTCGTAGGGCTTGACGCCGGTGTGGATGCGCTGGTGCTCGATGAGGTTGGACCGGCACCGGAACACTTTGCCACACGCGCCGCACAGGTACGGCTTCTCCCCGGTGTGTGTCCTCTCGTGGATGATGAGAGCCGACCGATGCTTGAAGCCTTTGCCGCATACGCTGCACCTGCAGAGCTTCGCGCCCACCGGGGCCTGTGTGGGGGCCTGCGAGGGGGCCTGCTTCCCGCCCACCGGGGCCTCCGAAGGGGCCTGCGAGGGGGCCTGCTTCCCGCTAGCTGGGATCTTCAAGGGCACCTGCTTCCCGCTTACCAGGGGCTGTGAGAGGGCCTGCTTCCTGGTCACTGGGGCCTGCGAGGGGGCCAGCTTTGGAGTCTGCTCTGCACTTGCTCCTGGCACATCTGGCACTGGGCCCTCCTCTTCCACACCAAGCACCTCTTGTTTGACAGCGCTGCTGGGCAGCCTGGTGCCCTCACAGCCTTTTGCCCCAGAAGATGTTTCCACGTCAGGGTCTGATTTAAAATCTCCTTCCTGGAGTAACTTTAATCCCTTTGTATCCTCCACAGGGTCTCCGCCCCTGGTCCTCTGCCCCATGGGTGTGCGCCCATCGGTGAAGGCTGAGTCCAGAGAGACCTCATCTCTCCCCACCTCCATTACTCTCCCCTAAACTGACCGCAAGTCTTTGGATTGACCCTGTGACCGCCCTGCCTTACTCCCAAAGAACTCAAGACCACAAATGTTGACTTTGTTGAAGTTGTCTAAACTGCAAGAAAAAGAAAAATAGAAAAAGATTGGTAAAATGAATGGAAAAATGATCTCCTGGATTTTTTTATTACCTTTTTCTTGTGATTTGATAAAAATTTATCACTCCTTATCATATATATCCTATTTTGCGGTTCATCTCAGTAAACGCTCGGCTAAGAGCTGGACTTGGCTGCTAACCAAAATACTGGAAGTTCAAGCCTGTCCAGAGTCCTTGGAGAAAGACCTGCTGATCTGCTCCCTTAAAGATTATTGTTGTTGTGTGCTGTCAAATAAAACGCCCAGTGACCCATGACAAAAGATCTGATCTCCTTCCTGTCCTGTGCCTTAAAGATGATAGCCGAGTAGTGGACACCGACTCGACAGCACCCAGCAACAGCTCAGCCAGGGCAATGTGGAAGACTCGCCTTCTTGATTTTGAGTCTGGTTACATGACTTGATTCAGTCAACGGCATCTGGGTGTAACTGACTATGTTGGTCCCATGCTGGCCTAACACCCCTGGTATCTCTGCTGTCAACACACGGAGAATCTGCTGCATGTGCTCTGAGAGTGAAATGCAATGAGCATGGACCCAAGGCCAGCCCAGATCAGCCAGGCCCCAGATAACTTCCAGACACATGAGAAAAGTAAGCGAAATCTCCCCAAAAGAACTCCATTGTCTCCAAGTTAATTTCAACTCATGGCAACTGTGTAGGCCAAAGGTGAACTACCCCAAAGGATTTTCACGGGTGTAAATCTTTACAGAAGCTGACTGCCACACTTTTCTCCTGCAGAGCAGCCAAGTGCATCAACCAGTGGGCAGCCTGGGCTCCTCTAAACAAACAGGTTAAATAAATAAAACATATGACAAGAATTCTTATATACATTTATAAAATCGTGAATAAATGTATGTTAACAAGCAACAAAATAATGAGTATTAAATAACTACAGTAAATGAAATAAAACATGTTGTTGATTGCCTTCGAGTTGTGCATGACTTGAAGCCCCTCTACAACTATCAACATTTATCAAAGTTCATAGTTTCCAGAGGCATGTTGTTTAGGAAGCGGATGTCACTCTTGCTTCCAAAAATAAAATATAATACAGAAAAAAATAATAGAATAAATTGGTGCACAACACATCAGGCTGACAGAGAACCTACCAGCCACTGCATGCCAGAAAGATGGAAAGTCTTCTTCCACAAAAATTTACAGCCTCAGAAACCCAGTGGAGGGTGCTTAGGGGTCAGAGGTGATTCAACAGCAGTCGGAAGGTCAGCGTCACCTTTAGAGTTCTTGGACTCTTCAGACGTCCATGCCAGCTCTTCTCCTGGACCTAACCCTAACCGTAACCCTTTCTCTGCCTACCAGATCTACCTAACATTGTCTTTTTTTCCCCCCTTCTTCTTTCTTTTCTTGTGTACCACTGAATCAGATCTGACTGGCACACGAGGAGATTGTCCCTCCTTCTCCAGCGAAGCATCTGGTGGATTCGAACCACGCACCTCTGTGATTGCAGTGCAGCTTCTTGCCACTAGGCTAACACTGTCTGTATATAGTGTATATAGACAACTAAACTCCATGCACATCTTGCAAAGGCTGCCCTTAGATGCTTTTTAGGGCTATGGGAGCATACTGGTGAGGCAGTGAGATCTGCCTTACAAAGGACAAGTTCAGGAGATACCCGAGTGAACTGGCAAGGAATTCCAGATGTGTGTCATCCTGAGTGTGTTCTACAAGCAGGGCTGTGCACAGGCTCTGGACCAGACGTGACCAAGCCTTGAAAAGCAGCACTAATGGAGTATCGCCAGTGTAAGAGCCTCTCAGCTAGGGTGGTACCAGTCTCACCCTAACCCTAACCCTACAAAGAGCTAACTCTCAGCACAGAATTACTCTCCTCGAAGACTTCTCACCTCTCTCAGGGTAAAGCCCCACAAGCCCTGAATGATCTGTCCCAACACAGGCCTCACTTTAATCCCATTCACTCCATCTCCCAGCCCAGGCCTCCTCCCAGGTACCCACCTTGATCCCTGGCATTGGCTATGCCATCTGTCTGGTACCTCCTCCTCCTGGATTCCTCTCACTTATTCAGGCTTCAGCTCAGAGGCTACGTCTTCAGAAAATGGGCTTGTTTCTCTGCTTACACTCTGCCTCCCCCCAGGACATCCGTTCCATGGAGATAGCTCACATCTATCTTCCTTATTTCAGGATCCAGTCTTGCAAGGCTCTGGCTGTCGTGGGTGCTTCAGTCTCTGGAAAAGGACATATCTGTGTTTATTCTGAGCTTGGAGAGCCTGCAGGGTGTCTAAGAGGCCACAAGGAAAGATGAGGGTGTCAGTTGAGAGCAAAGACTATCAGGGAATCTCACAGTGGCTGAGGGACCAAATGGCTCAGCCCAAAGGCTTGACTGCACTTGATGGACTCGACCACCACCCTCCTCGTCCAAGTGCACACACAGAGGACATGGTCTGACGATCATTCGTGTCAACACTCATCATGTCACAGAAGGCGACTCACGAGACAATCTCCGTGGAAAACATTCTGGCCCTCTGACATCCTCCATTACCTTCCTATCCCTCCATCACTGTCCTGTCTCTGTTGCACAGACACCCCAGCACGATGACAGTCACACGCGGCTTTAGAGGGCTCACATACAGGTCACCCCGAGAATCACCTGGACACAGGGTGATAAGAGAGGCACACCCCTCCAGCCGGGTCCCCCAAGCCCAGAGGCACACCCCACTCCTGTCATGCACACTGGCTCGCTCTCCCTTCCCCGGGGTCCCCATCACTCATCCCAGCACCCCTCACCCCCTCATCCCTGCAGGCAAAGTTCCCTGCACTGGTACCCTCACCCCTCAACCCCAGCATCACTATCCCTCCCAGGGCACCTTCATCTCAGTACTGAACTCTCACCCCAAGACCTCACATCCGTCCCTCCTCACGTTCGTGCCTGCACCCCACTCCTCACCGCAGCCTGCATTCCAACTCCTCGCCCTTCTGGCTGGCACGCCCACCCCTCACAGCGGTGCTCCCACCGCTCACACACCTGCACTCCATCCTTCACCCCTCGCCCCGGCACCTCTTCCTTCACACCGGTACCCCACCCCTCGAAGCCGAACCCTCCTTCTCTTGCACGCCCCTCGCCCCCAAGCACCCTTCGGCTTCTGCACCCAGCACCGGCGGGGCCTCCGCGCACCGCCAGCACCGCCCCACAAAGGCCAGTCCCGCGCACCCTTGAAGACTACAACTCCCAGCGTGCCGCGGGCGGCCCAGCGGCTTCCGTGAGGCGCGGGGGCGCGGAGCACGACGGGAGTTGTAGTTCAGGCTGGTGAACTTGCCGGCGGAGTAGGCACAGGGGCTCTTCCCGGAATTGTCCGCTGGCCGCGGCTCCGAGGTCGATGGGGGTTCAGAGCGGGGTCCTAGCCGGTGACCCCCAAACCCTGAGGTTCAAGGTGGGCGCGGGGCCGGGCGAGGGAGAGGGCCAGGCAGGCCCAGAGGCCGCTTGTGGCTGTAGCAGGGCGGCGACTGGGTGCGAGTGGACACGCGGGTGGGTGGGTGGGTGTGACCGCAGCGGCCACGCTGGGGGGGGGGTGACCACGTGCTTCCGGGGTCAGGTCCGAGGCGGCGCGAGGTGGACAGTGCTGGGCGGAGGCAGGACTCGGGCTGCAGGGGACAGCGTGGAGGGGTGGGCTTGCTGACCAGGTGTTGACTCGGGTCAGCGTGTGTCCCTGACATGTTGGATGTGAGTGTCCGGTGCTGTGAGCGGGAGGACAGGCGTGTGACTGACCGGGGTTCCCAGGGACCCCCGTGGTTGTGCACTAGTTAAAGCCCTTCAGTACTGACCCCAGGACGGTGGTGTGAGCCCACTGGTCACCCGGGGGGAGCTGAGCGAGGCGGTTTACGTCCATCAAGCTCCGCGGCCCTGGGATGCCCGTGGGCAGCTCTGTCCTGCAGGGTGGCCCGAGGGTGGGAAGGGGACGGGACCCTGGTGCACATGATGTGAGAGGTTTGTCCTTCTCTGTGTCCACAGCCCACTTCTCACCTGGCTGGGCATCGGCTCCTCTGAGCTGCTGTCCAGCAGGAGCCATCAGGGTGGACACTGGCTGTCCGTTGACCTCCGGGCCCGTCTGGATGTGCGTGATGGGTCTCCCCAGGTAACGTCCTGGCAGTGCTCGGAGGTAAGTACCATTCTAGCCTAGGTCCAAGCCTGGAGACAGACGTTCAAGAACCTCTGCTCTGTGGACAGGTCTCTGTGTGGACAGCTGTGGCCTCCGCTTGCTGTCAGACAGTGTGCTGGCTGCACGTGGCCGTCAGGAACGTCTCCATATGGAGGACTCCCAGAGCGCGTGGACAGCCTCATTGTGTCCACTGCGGGCCCTGTTGGCCCCTGCCCCCTCTTCCCGTGCATCAGACAACACAGTCTCTAAGTGGACACTCTGATCTCCCTCGCCCTTCCCTGTGCTGGCTGTGGCCGTCGAGGGAGCTAGCTGGTCAGCACTGTGGCTCCAGCACCGCCAGGCCCGAGTCAGGAAGACCCAGAGAACTCTAGGAAAGATAACAGGATCTGCTCCCACGTGTCGGATGGCTCTTAGGGAAGGTTCCAGCGAAGATGAGGTCTAGAGGATCAGAAAGAATTCGGTAGATTTCAGGACAAGAAAATAGCTAGAACGGGAGCTTGAGGGAGTGGTTCTTGTTACCTGCCCTCTAGTTGCCTTGCAACTCATGGCGACCCTCTGTACAACAGCTCTGAACCCTGCTCTATCCTGAGCCAACCGTACTGTCTCTGACACACCTGCCCTCATTACCCCGGTCACTGAGTCAGTCCATCTCATTGAGAGTCTCCCTCTCTCGTGCTGTTCCTCCACCCTTTCCAAGCATGATGTCCCTCTCCAAGGACTGGGAAGGGGAAAGCAGAAGATAATAGCAAAGGACAAGAAAAGTGAGAAACTTAAGTTTTACAGTCAAGGGGATTAACCCTGAAGTTAAGGGTGGATATTGAAGGATTTTAGGCGTGGGTTCCTGTTTTACAACGGTTCCCTTCTCCCTGTTTGCCAAGGCTGTGACTCCTATTTCAGCTCCTGCACCCTGGTTCAAGGGACTTTTCCCTGAGCAGGGCCTCACATAAAGTAGAACCCAGGCTGACATGGAATGGAACCAAGAAAAAGAACTTGGAGCCATTGTTCCTGCAGGAGGTTGTGTGTCAGAAAGGAGAAGCCACATCTGGAGGAAGGGCAGTGTGTAGCAAAAACAAAGAGCCAGCGTCCCCTAAGATTTATTTATTTGTTTATTAATTCTTTTAATTTTTGTTGTATTATTTTTACGTGTACCGTCAAATCAAATCTGACCGGTACAGGAGGAGAATGCCTCTTCCTTCTCCAGCAGAGCATCTGGTGGATTTGAACTGCGTACCTCTGGGATTGCAGTGCAGCGTCTTGCCACTAGGCCACCAGAGCTCCCTTAGATTTATTTATTTTTTTAAAAAACTCTTGATTCAGAAGGAAAAGTTCACTGTGAAAAGAAGAAAAATTAGAAACTGTATCACTCCTGGTGGAAATGTAAACCATGCAGCTGCTGTGCAAAGCAGTCTCTCAGTTTCTTAAAAATTTGAACAGAATTTTCACGTGATCTAGTAGGTCTGCTCTAAGATACCATCTTTATTGCATATAATACACCTATGTGAATAATATGCACATGCATCTGAGGACATTAACATAGGGAGGAATTGCGTGGTTATATGCCGTTACGTTATTTGTGTAAAAATACATACTCAGGGAGCTCTGGTGGCCTAGTGGCAAGAAGCTGCACTGCAGTTTCAGAGGTACACGGTTCGAATTCACCAGAGGCTCTACTGGAGGAGGGGTAATCTCCTCCTGTACCGGTCAGATCCGATTTGATGGTACACACACAAAAAATAATTTAAAAAATTAAAAGAAAATACATACTCTAGGCAAATAATAATCAGACTACTGCTGTGGAGTGGGAACTGCTTTGTAGCTGACCCTCCAGTGGTTTTCCCCGGCAGTAAATTGCAGGGGAGGAGATTGTCAATCTTTCTCCTGAGTTGTCTGCTGCTGGTGGATTCAAACCACAAGAGAAGTGGGGCCTTTGAGTTAGCAGTGCAACTCGCTATGCAGTGTGCCCACATTTATATACTCAAGGGAAAGCAAACATCTGTATGTCCACAAACATGCACGTGAATGTATATAGCAGCATTCTTTGTAATAGCCCAGAAGTGGCAGTAACCCTGAATTTCTAGCTAATAAATAGAGAAACAAAATGTGATCTATCCATATGATAAAATATTCTTCATCCAGTAAAATAAATGAAGTACTGATTCTCACCACTGGGCCAGTTGGCAGCATCAGGACGGATGGTGGAGAGATTGAGATTGTTAACAGCTTTAGTTTGATTGGCTCTACAATCAACACTCTTTGCACCAGCAGCCAGGAAATTAAAAGACAAATTGCATTGGGAAAGTCTGAGGTAAGCGACCTTTCTAAAGTACTGAAGAGCAGTGATGTAAGTCTGGAGACTAAGGTGACATGGAGACAGGCCATGGCCTTTGCAATCACTAGCTATGCATCAGAGAGTTTGACAATGACTAGGGAGGATAGAAGGAGAATTGATGCCTTTGAACTGTGATTCTAAAGCTTCATCTGACGTACTTTGGACATATTGCAGGGAGGGACCGGTCCTTGGAGAAGGATGTCATGCTTGGGGTGGGGGGGTGGAAGGACAGCGCAGGAGAGGAAGACCCTCTATGAGATGGATTGATTGAGTGACTGGGGTTATGGGGGTAGGTGTATCAGAGACAGTGAGATTGGCACAGGACAGAGCAGGGTTTAGGGCTGTATGAGTGTCGCAGGCGACTCGATGGCACATAACAACAACAACACTGGTGGATGTTACAGTATGAATGAGTTCTACAAATACTACGCAGAGTTAAATAAACCAGTCACAAAATGCCTGGATTACCTAATTCCATTAATGAACAGGTAAATTCGCAGAGAAAGCAGGTAGTGGTCTGTGGTGTGGTGCAGGGCTCCAAGTTCCACATGGTCGTCACTAAGCTTTGACCTTCCTGCAGTCCCAGCCTTGAGGTCCAGCCGTCCTGTATCCCACCTGCCTGCTGCTGCCCATGGCTCTTCACATGAGTCCTCTCAGCCTTGCGCCCTGGGAACAGGAAAGCTTCCTGCAAGTGAAGGTGGAAGATGACGAGGCCGACTTCTCTCAGGGCCAGGAATCAGGTGCGGGTGGCCACACTGCTCGCTCCGAGGCCGCCCGCCTGAGCTTCCGAAGCTTCCGCTACCAGGAAGCAGCTGGGCCCCTCGAGGCCCTGGCCCGGCTGCGCCAGCTGTGCCACCAGTGGCTGCGGCCCGAGGCTCGTTCCAAGGAGCAGATGCTGGAGCTGCTGGTGCTGGAGCAGTTCCTGGGGGTGCTGCCCCCCGAGATCCAGGCCTGGGTGGGGGCCCAGTCCCCTGAAAGTGGTGAAGAGGCTGCCAGGCTGGTGGAGGATCTAACCCAGGTGCTCGACAAGAGAGGTGATGATGAACAGTGTGCAGGTAGGCGTTCACACCTTACTGCGTAGGCTGTGCTGGAATTCGGGGACCTGGGGTCTAATCTGTGGAGGCTCAAGTACGTGTTCTCTCCTCCACATTTCTCCCTTCCCCTGGGCACTCACACACTGTGCATTTTGATGGCGGGGGACCCAGACTGGCTTACACAAAGAGGGCAAGCAAGCTTCAGGGGTGCCTGCTTCCAGGTATTCAGTTGGTGTCATCACAACTCCTCTCTCACACTCTTTTTGTTACTTGAGTTTTACTATAACAGCATCATCCTTGGGTAAGATCGCTTGCTGCAGCATGAGAAAGGGGGTTCAGTGATAGCCCAGAACCTTCAGTTTGTGCTCCACCAACATCCAAACTCCAAGGGAACAGTGCTGCCTCTGTGCCGTCTTCACTCCCTTCACCGCTTTTACTGGGAATACCTTTGATCCAGAATGCCAGTGATTGCTTCCAGCCATGCTAGGCTTTTACCCTTGGACTCTGCTGTAGAATCAGTTCTGACTCATGGCAAACCTCCATCAGGTTTCTGGGGCTTTAAATCTTTACACGAGGAAATTGCTTCATCATTCTCCTCCTAAGCAGCTCGTGGATTTGAACCCCTGACCTTTTGTGAGGTAACACAGTATACACTTTGACTCTTGTTAGGTGCCGTTGAGTTGAATATGACTTGTAGGGAGCCTGTGAACAGCCGGTCTGAACCCTGCCCTGTCCTGTCCTGCACGGTCCTTGTCTTCCCTGACATACTGGAGCCCATTGCCTGCGTCATTTTATCAGTCCACCTCATTGAGGGTCTTCCTCTCTTTCGCTGACCACTTTCCAAGCACAGTGTCCCTTTCCAAGGAATAGCCTCTCCTAACACCACGCCCAGGGTATGTGCAACGAAGCGTTCCCATCCTTCCTCTGAGGACCCCTCTGGTTGCCCTTCCTCCCAGACATACCTGTTTGTGCTTTGTGAGGTATTTAGTACTCTTTCTAACACAACTCAAAGGCATTGATTTTTCTTCTGTCTTCTTTATTCATAGTCCAGCCCTCAAGATGCAGGTGATTGGAATGACCCTGGCTTGAATCAGACACACCTCAGTCTTTAAACTGATATCCTTGCTCTTCAGGACTTTGGATTGGTCCATGACAGCAGACCATTCCAATACTATCTTACCTACTGATTTCCTGAAACTGCTGGTACGAAGGGTGTTGATTATGGATCCAAGTACCATGAAATCGTCGACAGTTTCTGTCTCTTCTCCATCTGTCATGATGTTGCATGTTAGCTCAGTGGTGAGGATTTTTCTTTTCTTGATGTTGACACACAATCCCTATTGAAGGCTGTAGTCCTTGATCTTCAGGAAGTGACTCAAGTCCTCCTCACATTCAGTAAGCAGGGAGGTATCATCTGCATAATGCAGATGGTTAATGAGTCTTCCTCCAATCCTGATGCCACATTTTTCTTCATAAAGTCAGACTTCTTGACTGATTTGCCCTGCGTATAAGTTGAATAAGTATGGGGAAAAGATACAGCCCTGCCACACATTTTTCTTCTAGTCTCTACCCGTTAACAATTGTGACCTGCTTCCATATTTAATGTATCTGTCAGGGCAGCACTCCACCCACTGTCCCAGACACTCAGTTACCTCATGCCGCTGGTACAGAATGACCACGACTCATAACTTTCATAAACAGAAACAATCTCTCATCATTTTGGAAGTTACAAGTCCAAGTTCAGGGAGAAGCTTTCTCCGTTGGCTCTTGGGGACGGCCCCAGTCTCCTCTGACGTCTTTGGGCCTGCTATCCCTGGGGAATCTCCAATGTGTTGACATCACTCTTCTAGATCTAGGGGTTCTCAGCCCAGAGACCCCGGGTACACAGCACGTGCTTCTCTCAGCAAGTGTTGGAACAGGCCCTGGCCTGCATTCCACTGGTCCAGTCAGGGTCAGGTGTCTCTTTGACCAGTGGCATCACAAGGATGAATCAGGAGCAGAGGCAGAGAAAAGCAGGCTGCTGGTGGTAGGTGGGGCTCGATGCTGAGAGGACAGAGAGGTGGGCAGAAGCACAGGTTTCCCCACATGCTGCTCCTGAACTGCTCGTGTGGGCACTGGCGTGGAGAAATTCACACAGTGTCTCAGCCAGGGAGGTTTGGGGGTCAGAGGGAATACCTAGCCCTCAGGCCGTCCCCCACGGGCCCAGGTCAGGACTGGCACAAACAGATGGCAGTGCTGACACGAAGGAGGGGACAGTGTGGTGTGCAGGGGGACATGGATGTCGATACCACCACCCTGCCTCCTCTCAGCTGTGGGACTTGGGGTAAACGGTGTAAATGAGGCACCTAGAACCTACCCAGTGTGTATTAAATGAGGCTGTTACAGCTCTCTGGTCATCTCGGAACCAGAAGAGCCCAGTTGGCGGAGTGGATGAAACACTGACTGCTAACCATAAGTTAGAGGTTCGAGCCCACCAGCTGCTCTGCAGGAGAGAGAGATGGCAGCCTGGTTCTGTAACCATTCACAACTTTGGAAATGCTACAGTGACAGAGAGTCAGAATTGACGTGTAGCGGTGGGCTTGGGTTTGAAAAGCCGACATTTCTGGGGCGTTGGGTCGGGCATGTTTGCCTGTTGTTGACAGCGTTACCCAGACTGTCCCTCATAGGCCTGGGCTAGGGGTCACAGTCCTCCCTCACACCTGCCTTCTCTCTCCTCCGCAGGGCTGCTGACTGAGGACACTGAGCTTCCCCCAGATGGGAACGTCAGCAACGGGTGGACAGCCATGGAGCCCGTAGCCCTCAAATACCAGGTGAGGGGACAGCCTCCCAGTTAGAAAGAACAGCACAGGCTGAAGGATTTGAGGGGGGTACTTCCCTGATCTCAGGGGTGATGGTGGTCCTTCCCTGATATCTCAGGGGTGACGGGTCCTTCCCTGATATCTCAGGGGTGACGGGTCCTTCCCTGATATCTCAGGGGTGACGGGTCCTTC